GGATCACGAGGTCAGGAGATCGAGACCATCCTGGCTAACACAGGGAAACCCAGTCTCTACTAAAAACACAAAAAATTAGCCGGGCGTGGTGGCGGGCGCCTGTAGTCCCAGCTACTCGGGAGGCTGAGGCAGGAGAATGGCGTAAACCCGGGAGGTGGACCTTGCAGTAAGCTGAGATCGCGCCACTGCACTCCAGCCTGGGGACCGAGAGAGACTCTGTCTCAAAAAACAACAACAACAACAACAACAACAACAAAAAACGAAAAAAGTTTAAGAAACTTACTTTCTTCATTCTCAATTTTTTCCATTTGTTCTTCAAGAGTTTTGTGGTCAAAGTGGAATGCTTCTAACACTATTACTAGCAAACTGTTAAAAAAAAAGAAAGTACACAGAAATGTTCATTTGATTATTAATATCATTGGACTATAAAAGGAGAGGAAATTTAAACACTAATAAACATTAAAATTATTTTTATTAGCACTTTTAATTTTAACAGGTATTAGCATAACCTTATTAATACAAGATAAAAGTAAATTGAGATACAGAAAGACTAATTCAGAAAATATTTTTAAAATTACATTTAAAAAACAAAACAAAGAAGTTTGACCATACCTGACACCCAGTTTTTGATTGATCTGTCCCGTTTGTAAGACATGAATGAAATGTTTCAAGTAATACATATATGCTGACCAAGAGAGATGTTTGCAAATGGCTCCAATAACCTCTGTGGCAGCAATGGTTATATTTTCATGCTGTAAAATAAATCCAGAGTATCAATGCAGAACAAGTATTTGCTAATAAAATGCAAGGCTAACTCAGTATACTGAAAAACTTAGTAGGTTCTCGGTAATTACAGAAGAGAAAGAATGCCCAAACTATGCTCATTTTCCCCTCTAACCCTAGGAAAACATGTTATCCATTTAAAGGAATTATATCATCTTTTAAAGGCTATTAACATATTTTGGACTATTTTCCACTCAGACCTCCTTAATGGGTTCAAGACTACAGAATGCAAATGAAATAAATTCAATGTAGAAAAACCGACAAATGACAAAAATTATGTATTGTGCTACTCAGTCCTCAAAAGTACACTGTAGGTGGTGGGGTTCGAGGGGAGGAAGATAATCAGGAAAAATAGCTAAGGCATGTTGGGCTTAATACCTAGGTGACGGGTTAGTAGGTACAGCAAACCACCATGGCACATGTTTACCTATGTAACAAACCTGCACATCCTGCACATGTACCCTGCAACTTTTATCAAAAAAAAAAAAAGTACACTGCCTCAGAGACATCTCTTTCAGGCCATGATGAAAAACAGAGAGTGAATTTACCTGTAGACCTTAAACTAGAAAAGCAGGCAAAATACATGAAACAGGCCAGGCACGGTGGCACACACCTGTAATCCCAGCACTTTGGGAGGCCAAGGCGGGCAGATCACAAGGTCAGGAGTACAAGACCAGCCTGACCAACACGGTGAAACTTCGTCTCTACTAAAAATACAAAAATTAGTTGGGCATGGTGGTGAGCACCTGTAATCCCAGCTACTCAGGAGGCTGTGGCAGGAGAATCGCTTGATTCCGGGAGGTGGAGGTTGCAGTGAGCCAAGATTATGCCACGGCACTCCAGCCTAGGCCACAGAGTGAGACTCCATCTTGGGAAAAAAAAAAAAATACATGAAACAACAGTTTCCAAACCTTGGATATCAACCACTGCAGGCCAGTGATCTCTGAGAGAAATAAATAAATAAAGTGAGGCTTATAATTACCCCAATTTACTCTGTGGAGAGAACTGTTAAGTTGCAGCACAGGAAGAGAAACCAAAAAGAGCCCAGTGGTCTTCCTGAGTTAGAAGACAGGGTTGAGGCTACGGTAGCTAGAGTCCACGGGGCACAGCACCAGAGAGAAGAGCTGCACAGAGGGAAGCTGCACAGAGCAAGCCCCTTGAGTCTTCGGTTGAGTACTGAGCAGTAAGCGTGAGTAAGGAAGACACGGGAAAAGAACCAAAGAAGGGAACAGGCAAAACAATCATCAAAGACCATATAAGGTTGAGGCTAGTTCACAGTCCCATCAGCCAGAGTGAAACACCTCATGCTACACAGGGCATTGGGTATTTAGGTCCTTAGAACAGTAGTATCTCAGTACCAGGGCCCTATTAGTCATAGACTAAAGGCTGCTCCTGCCCTAAGAGAGCTTGAAAGCAAGATTCTAAAGAATTAGACTATTCACAAGTAACCTAACTGCATCTGAGAATAATTCTCAGGAATACTTAAAGACATCCTAATGTACCCAACGCCCAGTAAGGTAAAACTCATAATGTCTGGCACCTAATAAGAAATTACAGCTGGGCATGGTGGTGCTCGCCTGTAGTCGCAGCTACTCAGGAGGCCAGTGTGGGAGAATCACTTGAGACTAGCCTGGGCAACAAAGCGAGAACTCCATCTCTACAAAAAATAAATTGAAAATTAGCCAGGTGCAGTGGTGTACACCTGGAGTCCCAGGTACTTGGGAGGCTGAGGTGCGAGGATCATTTGAGTCCAGGAGTTTGAAGCTGCAGTGAGCTATGATCATACCACTGCACTCCAGCCTGAGAGACAGAGCGAGACCCTGTGCAAGTTTTCTAGCGGGCTTGGCAATAATTTATAAAATTCTCATATGGTTATAAGTGGTTAAAACTTTAATACTTAGAAAAATAAAAGAAGTGAGAGAAAAGCATAAGAATGTTAAGGAGAGACATGAAAGATATTTTGAAAAGATGAAATTGAACTTCTAGAGATAAAAAAGACAATTCTGAGAGGGAAGATATACTGGATGGGATTTACAGCAGATTAGACAATGCAGAAAAAAAGATTAGTGAACTTGAAGACAGAGCAGCAGAAAAACGAAACAAAATAAAACCCAGAAAAAAAAAATGAAAAAAGTAAAACAATATAAAAGCCTCTGAGTTATGGGACAACTTCAAGTGACCTAATAATGTACACTGGAGTCTCCAAAGGCAAGAAGGGGACCCAAAAATATTTAAAGAAATAATATATGAAAATTGCCAAGTTTGGCTGGGAATAGCGGCTCAACCCTGTAATCCCAACACTTTGAGAGGCCATCGCGGATGGATCACTTGAAGTCAGGAGTTTGAGACCAGCCTGGAAAACATAACGAAACCCCGTCTCTACCAAAAATATAATAAAATTAGCCAAGAGTGGTGGCATATGCCTGTAGTCCCAGTTACCAGAGAGGCTGAGGTAGGAGAATCGCTTGAACCTGGGAGGCAGAAGTTGCAGTAAGCAGAGATTGTGCCACTGCAGCCTGGGTGACAGAGTGACATTCTCACTCCAG